TCATTGTTGTTTGGCGGGTCCGGGCTGGATTCAAGCCTGCCACCTTTGGTGTACGTGGCTGGCGCCCTAGCCGATTGAGCCACAGGCACCGAGCCTCTGTCTGGGATTTTAATCTTGTGTGGGAGCCCCTTTTTCTCCAAAGGCAAATCTGTCTTGATTCAGAAATCACTGGTCACCTGTGTTGTACTCATTTGAAGAAATGTAGAATAAATATTTATTTTTGCAAATAATCTCACAAACCTCAGAGGCATAGAAAGATAATTTAAAAAGTAGATCTTGTAAAGATAACAACCATGCTGTAAATCCTGGAGTTCTAATAACTGCCAGGCACTCGGACAGTGGCCTTACCTGCTGGATCCTCATTCAGCCCTCCACTCATCTTAGGGATTTTGGTAGTCTGTGGACAGCAGAGTGGCAGATAGGAAGTGGAAAGTTTATTAAGCCCACAGGGCCTTGAATCATTGAATCATAGAGCTGAGATTTGGGACCCATCACCTTGACCTTCGAGGCCGTGGTCTTCAGGGTCCCACACAGCTGTGTAAGGACTGGGTCTTTAGAACTGGGTGCCCGCAGGACTCCATGCGACCCGCAATAGCTCTGTGAGAGAACACAGAGGCCCAAGGTCATGAGCACTGCCTGGGGCAGCCCAGGTAGAGGGGCCCAGACGGGAAGCCCCAGTCTAGGTCTCTTCCTCTCCTCCCACAGCTGCCCTTTTGGGCAAACTCGGGGGAGATGAGGGAGTGTGCCAGAGCTCACATGGGAGGCTGTGCTGGGATTATTCAGCACCATTGCTTCATTTCTGAGCATCTCCTTGTCCTTCAGGCCTCCCTCTGCTTGCAGGATGCCCAGGGTGGTGGGGATGGGGGTGGGGGTGGGAGTAGGGGTGGAGGAGGTTCGTGGCTCAGCATCACAGCTGCACCTCTGGTAGGGGGGGAGGCCTGTGAAATTGAATTGGTTCCAGCTCTCTGTCTGCATTGTTAGGACCTCCGAACCTACACAGGACCCGCTTGGTTCACACAATGGCCCCTGTTGAAGGAGTCTCCTGTAGGAATTTAGACATGAATTTATTTTGACAGTCAGATCTTAGGTTGCCCGGAAGCGGGAACTCTGAGAAATCAAACACATGACTTTGTCACTGATTTAAAGGCTCTGTCCTGTCTCTTATGGAGGCATTTTCCGTTTTCATTTTTAGGGGGCATTTTTCAAATTTCTCTTGTTGGGGATCAGCTGTCCTTTCTAGGCACACAGTGATGCTTTGTCCTGCTCAGGTTCACTGCCTTTCTTCCTCAGGGATCTAGTTTGGCTCACAGCCCTGCGCCCCAGACGTTCCCACCTGAGCCGTTTTGCTATTGCTGACGGGGAACGGTTGTAACTAAGCTCTTGCCCACCAGGTTCTCACTGCCCACTGTCCAAAATCTGGCTGTGCCACAAGTCAGGGAGAGGCTGCCCATGGGCGTGTTAAGCTGGACTTTGTCAAGGATCCAGAGAGTTTGGAGAGGTAGAAAGTCTTGCTGGATAGACTCTGACACACACACATTCTTTCTCTCTCTTTTTTTTTCCAGCCTGCAAGTATTCCTGCCACAAGAAATGTGAAGCCAAGGTAAGCATTCCGTTGCTTTCCCGTGGGACTCTTTATAGCTGAGTTGGCCTTCGTTGAATGATAGACTTGGGGGTGGGGGGGACCTTTGGACAGTGGCCATGGAAAGGAGACGCTTAAGGAAAGAAATGGCTGGTAGATACTTTTCGATGGGGTGTATACTTTTCATCTCAAGAATAAACTGAAGAGCTTTGAAATCTGTGGTTTTAATTATAGAAAATAATTCTACAGAATTTGATTTCAGATAAGAAGTCAGTAATTTTCTCCTGGCCATGTCACCAGCTCTTTCTCCATGACAGATGATCCCTGGCTTCTCATGGCCTTGGCACGCTGCGTCTCTGGACAGAGGGGGAGGCATGGAGAGCGTCCAGGGTACTTGCCTGGCCAGGGGGACTTTGCTGACCTCACTTTCTAAGATAGTTGTACATAGAGGGGTTAGAGTTTTTAGCTGTCCTCGAGCTCTGGGGACCCTGGAGTAGGGGTGGTCATGCTGAGCTTTTGAGTTCCTGGAGAGGTTAGATTGCCTAGTGGCCCCCCAGAGTGTGGGACGCCTGCCTGTGTCCCTTTGGGATTAGAGCTTTGACCAGTGGGGAAGTGAATGATGGACACCCCAAGGAAAAAGCACAGGGCTTTCTCCCTGTCATGGTGTCTGTACCCCCGGATGTCCTAGGCATGGCATTTGTATCCCTGGATATCGTAGGTATTGTGTCTGAACCCCACCCCCAATACCTAGATGTGGCGCATGTAACCCCAGACATATTAGGTATTATTTCTGTACCCTGGTCTTCCTAGGTATGGCATCTGCACCCCAGGATATCTTAAGTATTTTGTCTGTACCCCAGATTTCCTAGGTATGGTGTCTGTACCCCTGAGTATCTTAGGTATTGGACTGCATCCCCGGATATCTTAGATAAAGCATTTACAGCTCCAGATTTCCTTGGTATTGTGTCTGCACTGTGAATTTCTTAAGTATGGTATCTGTACCCCAGATTTCCTAGGCATGGGGTTTGTACCCCTAGATTTCCTAGGAATGGAGTCTGCATCTCCACGTTTGAAGTTTGGTTTCAGTGTACAGTGGGGCTGCAGCGTGTCACCCCATAGACTGTCAGGTGTCCCAGCAGGCAGGATTGCCACCACCACCTGCCTGTAGCCATAGGTCTGGGGAGATGCAGTTTGAGACTTTTGATATTTTGCTGCTATTACTCAGGGGTCAGCTGCTCCCAAGAATTTCCAGCCCATCTTCAGCCCTGAGTGGAAGATTGTGCTGGAAATGGACTTCGTGTTACTGGGAACTCACTGCATGTGGGTGTGTTTTCCATGTGAGGATTTGGTGGCTGGTTTCCTCCCCTATCCCCTGCCATGGGCAGTGCATAAACACATGTGCATAAGCACACACAAACATGCACATGCTCATACGCACACACACGTGTGCAGTGCACACACAAATACGCACATACACACTTGTGCAGTGCACCCACAAACATGCACATGCTCAATACACGTGTGTGCACACAAACATGCACATGATCAATACACACGCTGTGCACACACAAACATGCACATGCTCATACGCATACACACGTGTGCAGTGCACACACAAATACGCATATACACACTTGTGCAGTGCACCCACAAACATGCACATGCTCATATACACGTGTGTGCACACAAACATGCACATGCTCAGTACGCATGCTGCGCACACAAACATACACATGCTCATATACACGTGTGTGCACAGAAACATGCACATGCTCACATACGTGTGTGCACACAAACATGCACATGCTCAATACACACGCTGTGCACACACAAACATGCACATGCTCAATACACACGCTGTGCACACAAACACGCACATGCTCACATACACAAGCTGTGCACACAAACATGCACATGCTCACATGCACACGTGTGCACACAAACATGTACATGCTCACATACACACATGTGTACACAAACACATGCTCACATACACAAGCTGTGCACACAAACACGCACATGCTCACATACACACGTGTGTACACAAACATGCACATGCTCACATACACAAGCTGTGCACACAAACACGCACATGCTGTGCACACGCAAACACGCACATGCTCACATACACGTGTGTG